TACGAGTCTGAGCTGCATAGTGAGATCCTGTATCAAGTAAGTAAATTAATTAAAACAAGAAGAAGAAGGAAGGAGAAGGAGGAGGAGGAGGAGAACAACAACAACAACAACAACAACAACAACATCAACAATAAATGATTAAAACAGAAGAGAAGAAGAGGAGGAGGAGGAAAAATCAGATCTCTCCAAATTCAAAGATCCAGGCCAAAAAATGGACAACTAAGGTGAATACACACTTCTCTGATGAAGAAATACAAATGGCAAATAAATGCATGAAACAATGTTCAATATCATTGGTCATTTGATAGATGTGAATTAAAACAACATTGAGATTCTATCTCACCCAGAAGAATAACTATTATCAAGAAATCAGCTGATAAAAAATGCTGTTGAGTCTGTGGGAAAAAAGGAACCCTTCTCCACTGTTGATGGGAGTGTAGACTGATGTAAACACTGTGGAAATCAGCGTTGAGATTCCTCAAAAAACTAGGATTAGAGGTTCAATTCCATACAACTATTCCCCTTTTGGGTATCTTCCCAGAAGGAAAAAAAAAAAATCATGCCACAGTGATATATGTACACCCGTGTGTATAGCAGCACTATTTGTAATAGCCAGATATTGGAAACAACCCAAATGCCCATCAACCAAGAAATGGATAAAAAAGACTTTTTTTTAAACATAATGAAGTACTACTTAGCCATAAAGTAGTATAAATTGGAGACTTTTCTAGGTAAATGGATGCAACTTGAGACCATATTCATAAGTGAAATAAGTCAGACCCTTATGCATAAACAGTGTGTTGTTCCACTAGTGTGACAAACTGAAGAAGTATATAAGGTCCAAAACGTACAACAGGCATTGTGAATCAGGAAGAAAACATTGTGAATCAGGAAGAAACTGTTCAAAAGAAAAGACAAACTGGGATGGGGAAAGGGGAAAAGAAGAAAGGGAAAAAGAAAATATATTTAAACACAAGACAGTTAAAATAGTTATACAGCTACCTTTTCTTAGTTCATTGAAAAGAAACGTGTGTCAGTATTGTGTGAAGGAGACACCTTGTGTTCTGAATACCTACTAGGAAGACAGCGCTACATGGTGCATTAATTACTGTAACTCTCCTAGTAACTTGTTTCGTTTATTTATTTTTGTTTGTCTTTGCGGTACCAGGGATTGAACTCAGGACCTTGCCCTTGCCAGGCAAGCTCTTATTCTACTGAGCTATCTCCCTGGCCCTTAGTAACTTGTTTTGAAACTTAGTTTCATTATTTTTTTTCTCTTTAATTTTTTTTTTTAAGGCTAGGGAAAGAATAGGTTTAATAGAAAGATTTAGTAAAAAATGGTTTTAATTTGAAGAATCATTTTCCAATGCTAGGCACAAGCAGTGGTGGAACACTATAAATGACTTTAGGTGTTTACAAAATCATCCAGTTTTCAATTATATGGAGAAGTTATTAGTTTAGAAGAATCTCATTGAGTTCTTTTGATTGCAAGGAATAAAGATGCATTAGTTCTCTTCATAGGAAGCAACAACAGCCAGAAACACAGCGCCTGGCCGAGAGAGCCAGTCTCCAGGATCGCCTCCAAAGTGGGGTTGAGTCAGCGCTAGAGAATCTAAGATCTTGGACCCAGTGGGTCCCCAGCCAGACCCCAACTGAAAAAGCCAGGGTGCCCTGCACTGGTCTGTCCCAAGGCCAGCCACCACCACCTTTTCACCTGAGTCCACTGGCCCTTCGGCTGCTCACAGTCTGCACAACAGCTCCTCTTTCCTTCTACATCACCATCTTTCAGACCAGCTTCTCCCTTTTCAGCCCTGCTGGTCCCAGCCAGCCAAGAGATTACCTTCCGTGGGGCACCCAGAGCCTGTGGTTGGGAACATTCATGGACAGGATGGACCAGCAGGTTCCTCTGGAAGGAGTGGCAGCAACCCTGACATGGCTGGTTCATGACTTCAGTTAGTTTGGAAGGTTTCTATTTAACTTTTTGTTGAGAAGTTATTTCAAACTTAGAAAATGGCAAAAATAGGACAAAGAATTCTTGTAAACCCTCTACCCAGATTCACCCATGTTATGGTCTATATCCGGCTGTACCCCCAAAGTCCCATAGGTGGGGTTCTTGGGAGGTGATTGGATCCCATGGCTGTGATACCAAATTTGATGTTTGGAGGAGGGGTCTGGTCAGAGGGGGTGAACCGGAAGGGGCATCTCCCTCCTGCTCCACCTGGCCTGCCACCTCGGGGAGCAGCTCTACCCTGCCTGAGCCTGCCTCCAGGGCTCCATGTCTTGCCCTGACTGACTGAACTAAAAACGAGAGCCAAAATAAACTTCTCCACCTATAAGTTGTGGATGCTGGTGACAAAGTAATGAAGAAAACCCACTGCCAGTATTTTTTTTTCCAAAATATTTATTGAGTAGCTAGAAGTACAGAGGTAATTAAAATGAGATGAGCCATATGCACAAATAAGAGCAATATGCATGGTTCACTGAATCACAGCAGTTAAAGGAAAAAAGTGCTTTAAGAAAAAGATGCCTTCCAGCCTGGAAGAAGGTAAGTGGCAAATCTGGAAAGGGGACTGAGATTAAAATAGAAGACTTCA